ATAATTTTCCATACAATATCCCACTTCCCTCCCCCCCTTCACTTCCCAGAGCTGGTTACAGGGTTATAAAAACAGAATCATAAATTAAATAACATTACCCAGATATACTACAATCAAGTCCCATGGTGTGTATGAAATTGAGATGTTTTATCTATCTAGAATTGTGAAATGGTCGTTTTATTATTATATTAATTATTATTATATTAATTTGTAATAATGATTTTTTAATATAAATTCATCCATAATAAACTATTAATAATATTCTAAAATTTACTCATAAACTAAGTAATACTTTTCAATCTCGTATTTTTTCTGAATATAATAAATCCATCTTCTCCAAACCAAAATATATTTTCCTTGAGATTGATCCTTCAAATAAGCGGAAATTTTTGCCATTTCTGCTAAATTAGACACCATAATTCTCCATTCTTCCATAGTAGGCAAAGAATTTTTCTTCCAATATTGCGCTACCAGTAATCTTGCAGCTGTTATAAGATTCAACATCAAATTCATTTCTTTAGCATCCAAATCTTCCATAATACCTAGCAAAAATAACTGCGGTGTAAACTTTATCTTTTTCTTAAAAATATTTTGAATATTCCACAAAATCTTAATCCAAAATGCTTTTATATCCCTACACGTCCACCAAATATGAAAATGAGTTGCATCTAAACTTCCACATCTCCAACATTTGGGCTGTAAATTAGGATACATACAGGACAGTTTTTGAGGATCCAAATGCCACCTATAAAACATCTTATAAAAATTTTCTCTTAAATTTTGAGCTTGACAAAAAGAATTCTTTCAAATGATCTCTACATTTCTGCAAATTCCCCTCATATCTAAATAAATTTTCATTTAATCTCCAAGTCCTTCTATTCCCATCTTCAGCAGATAATTCCATCCATACAGGACTATGATCTGACAATGTTCTAGAAAAAATCTTGATATTCTTCACCCTAGAAAAGAAATCATTAGTAATTAAAAAGAAGTCAATTCTGGAATACGATTGGTGCCTGTCCGAGAAAAAAGTAAAGTCTCTTTCTTCCATATTTCGTTCTCGCCAAATATCTCTTAATTCCAAATCATCCTTCAGATCAAAAAAAGTTTTAGGTAATATGGAATAACTAGAAACTTTGAAGGAACCTTTCTTGTCTTTGCATGAATCTAAAACACCATTCCAGTCTCCCATCATGATGACAGATTTATAATCCAATTGATTTAATTTCTAATGTATCAACTTATAAAACTGTTTTTGTTGTTGATTTGGGGCGTATAATCCAATAATAAGACATCTCCTTCCATTCAATAATAACTCAATAATAACATATCTTCCTTCTAAATCAAAATCAATTAATTTCGGCGATAACTCTTTCCTCACATAAATAACTACACCTCCTTTTTTCTGCGGAGCAGGAGCTATAAAATGTATTCCCAACCGGGAATTAATCAAATACTTTTGATCCTTTGAAGTAATATGAGTTTCTTGCAAACACACAACATCATTCTTATGTTGTTTCAGGTAATGAAATGTTTTCTTTCTTTTCTGTGGTGAATTCAAACCATTAACATTCCATGTCAGGAACCTTGCCATTTTTAATGGCTTGGAGCCTCTGGAACATTCCTTGAAGATCAGCTGTCACTGATTTCTTCAGTCTTATATCTCCCACTGGCTCTGAAGTAATCTGATGTGTTATAGGTACAACATCCACCTTTTGCTGTTCTTTTTCTTTACGTCTATGAGCTGCACGGGTCATTCTTTGTCCCTTTGGATCATCTTTCGTCTCTAAAGATTGTTGCTTAAATTCAACCTGTGAATCTCCTACACTTAATGACATTGCTCCTTCAACCACTTGTTCTTCAAGCATTCTTTCATTTCTGTTAAATCGTGGAGATGGTGGTGAACCTGCCTTCAGGACAGAAATGTAAAAATCTCTTGCTTTTAAAATTGTGTTAAGTCTATAACGTGTCCCCACATAGCTCACCACTATTCCAACAGGTATATCCCATCTAAATTGAATTTGTCATTTTTTCAACTCTTCAGCCAGAAAAGCAAAGTCCTTTCTTTTCCTAAATATTTTAGGAGGTATTTCCTTTAAAATTATAATATCTTTTGCTACAATTTGGAATCTCTGCTTATAGAAGGCTTGAATAATTTCATTACGGATTGATCTTCTAGAAAAATAAATTACAACATCTCTTGGTAGATTTCTCTGTTGTGCGACCCATGAATTTACCCTAAAAAAATTTCTATCTCTCTCAAAATATCTTCAGGTTCGCAGGCCAAAACAATAGCCAAATCTGCTGCAATCTCTTCTTTCAATTTTTCTTGCACGTTCTCCTTCAGTCCCCTTATTCTCAAAGCATATTCCGTGTCTCTATATTGTGACATAATAATTTCGTTCTGAGTTATATCCACATTATCCTCTACTTTTCCAAGTCTATCCTCTAATCTTTTGACATTTTCCACCACCTCGTCCACCCGTCCATCTATGCGTTCTACATGAGCTGCTAAACCTTGAAAAGCTAACAGTATATCCTGTCTCATCTCGTTTTTCTCTTCAAAAAGCTCAGCTGTCTCTATTCTAATCTGTTTCGCTGTATTCATCAAAGCGTCCTGTAAGTCCTTAAGTGTAAGTGCAGGCGGTGGGGGAGAAGATGGAGGTGTCTTGGGCTTAGGTTGCTGTGAATTTTGAACAACCGGAGAAGAGATCGGACCTTTCGGAAGAGCAGAAATTCCAAGGCGTTTTGAAGCCATTTTTTTTTTAAAAAAAAACGCTTCTTATAAATCTTGTATAATCTTGTAAAAGCAACAGTTGCAGGATATATAAAAAAATATAGAAAGCTTGCACTTTACATAAGCTAGCGAAATCTGTTACATTATTTCGTTGTCTTCACTTAAACACCAAGTAAAAGTGAGTCTCTTAAGTATCATTTCAAACAGAGGAACGGCATTCCGCGACCATATTTTTCTTCTTCTTTTAATTTAAATAGTAGATGAAGAAGATACTTGTTTATTTTCTGAGTTAAAGTCTCAAATTATCCAAATTCCAATCCTCCTGTTCAGCTCCGTCTGCTTTTTAATTTTACTCACGGTCTCTTTAATTAGCAGATGTGGAAGCAGCATCTAGCTTTGTTCCTAAGAACAAAGGCGACCCGAGGTGCGGAGAAAACCCAGACTCTGAGGGAGTTCTCACCTTCGTCCTCCCAAAATTTTTTTTAGAGAACTAGGGAACTCAACCTCTATCCAAGAAAGCTCACCTCCTCCCCTTCACCCGGGGAGAGAGGCTCCAAGCCGCGGAACAGCTGTTGAACGCCGTTCCTTCAGGCTTTAACGCATCCCAGGGCGGACGGCTTAAAAAGAAGCCACCATCGGCGCGGCAGTCACCACCGGAAGTCTGCGAGTGTCTGTCATTGATAACCAAATTGTGCTGGACCAGTATAACTCTGGCCCGAGCATATATTAGCTTAAGTACTGTGGCCAGAGTATATATTAGCTTAAGTACTGTGTTAGAGCATTTAGCATTTAAAGGGTTAAATGCTCTAACACAGTACTTAAGCTAATATATGCTCTGGCCAGAGTTATACTGGTCCAGCACACAAATGGAGGTTTATTTCCGAATTGTCTTCTATCTGCAGTCATAGGTTATCTGCAGCTGAATAGTCAGTGCCATTGGATCAACATCTCCAACGCAAAGCATTCTGGAGGGACAAGAAAGTAAATATGTGCTTTTTCTCTTCATATTTCTTCTAAACTTGCCATAGATATCTCATGCTTATCAGTTCCAATAAAGTTATTACTTAACCCAATCCAAGCTCAAAATATATTTCTTACTATTGTAACCTTTCAAGATACAATCCTTATAAAAATGGCTTAAAGGTAATTTCTATCATAATAAATACTATCTACCTACCTCTACCATTTTAGAGGTTAGAATTCTTTTTAAAATTATTATTCTATTATTCTAATAAGAAATATAGATGCTTCTCTGCGTTTCTTTAACCAAAGGTGATGTCTTGGTAAAAAAAAAAAAAAGCACTATAAGTACAAAAAGCTATTTTTAGGGTTTTTAAAATAATTTTTATTGCTTTTAAAATAATATGAAAAAAGACAAAATCGGTATCTATAGCAAATCTGCTAATAGGCGGCATGTGTAATCAGTTCTTCAAACCATAGACTGAATGGGCCATACATTTATCTTTCTAATGTTAACTATAAATTCTAAAAACCACTTGCTTAAAAAAAGAGAATATGATACCATTTGATTTATATTTTTCCTGTCCTCCTTGTATTATCCACACTTCCCAACCCTTTTAAAAATTGAATCCGCCTTTGTACAGCCCGGAGGCTTTTAATTGGTCCTAGTTTGATAATAAAAGTTAGGAGGCTGGGATTGACTGGCGGAAGACAACAGATTAAGCGGGGATTGGCTAGAAGAGAGGGTGGTTGCTAAAGGGCCGGTACCTGTCTATAGAGATAGTAACATAGAGAGCAGCACTTCCCAAACAAAGATGCACACCAATCACAGTGTTCTTCCAGATAAGCAACAAATGCAAAACAAAGAAGAAAAGGAAATTGTAGTAAACGGGGGGAAAAGCATTTACTACCAAAGGCGTCCTGTTTAAAAAATACGCTGCCTTTTTCTACCTTAGGTTTTGTAATTTCTTGTAAGAAGCTTATTAGGTAAAAGAAATGAATGCATTTACGTTCCCAATGGCTAAAAATCAGAGCTACTCCACCTGAGAATTACAAAAAGCCGGACGACCATGGAAAGGCAGCTAAGGGTTTTCGGTATCCGATGGAAGTCATCGAAAGGATACCCCTTCTCTCTGCAGTCCAGATGGGACAATCCACGAAAGATCTTTCTGAGACATTCGTGTACGAAATAACGCCTCGAGAACGGAGACTGGGGGCCTCTAATGTTTCTATCTCTACGCCGGACTAGAGCTTATTTTTTATCGCGAGAAGAGCCGCGATTCTCCTTTCCGCTTCAGCTTTCAAGCCGTGGCGGCGGTGTCTCGAGCAATGGGAGTGGGGAGGTGAGGTGACCCACGGAGACGGGGGGGGGGGATGCCGCGGAGTCCCTTGATGCCCTTCCGCAGCTGTTTTTGCGCGGGCTTCCCAACCCCCGAGTACGGCGGCGTGTCACTTCAGCCCTGTCGCGCCAGCTGCTCTTCTCCCCTCCGGGAGGGCTGCGGGGGTGGAAGGGGGGGAGGAAGAAGAGAAAAGAGCGGGCTGCTGTAGCCACGCCCCATTTATGCTCCATGCTCCCCCCCCCCACCCATGCTTTGCGCCTGGATCTGAGACGGAAGAAGATTCCCTCGGCGCTCCCCGTCCTTCTTTCCTTTATAATACGGCTCTAGAGTGAGCCCGACACCTGGTCACGATGTTGCACGTCTGGCACGTTTTCTTGGCAGTGGTAATGAGGATGGCCACTGCTTTTCTCCGATATGTCTTTGTTCCTCACGGCCCCGGATTTCCTGGTGGTCCCCCATCCAAATGCAAGCTAGCCCCGAATTTATTAAGCTTTCAAGGTCAGCTGGGTGCAATTAGCGTCTTTCCAAGTTTATATTCTCACCGCAAAACGATGTAAAAATAAGGTGGAAATCTATCCGCAAAGCACGTTTCCCCAACCCAAGATCTCTTCCTTATATTAGAGATCCATCAGCTAGGCTGAGACTCGACATAAAGCAGTATGTAGTGTGCTTGCATGTGTTCATACCTGTTGTATGAACTTGTTGCAAGTTGTATTTATGTTGTGACTTATTCTAGAAACCATGGCCTATTCAAAGCAAAGCTTAATAAAATGCAAACCCAGTCTTGGAACTGCAGCATCAATGGTATTTAAAATGGCAGGCAATAGAAGCATGAAGGTCTCTAAATAATCTTCAAGTATCTACCAACATGACTGGGTTGTTAGCAAGGAGAATTCTTCCTCTTAAAGGCTTCCTTAAATCTGAATGCAAGGATGTTCATTTTTAAAAATTAATGCTAATGCACACTGTCACGTCCAGGAATGATTTCCATATATTTGGCATGGCATATAGTGCAGTTACCAAGTCCCAGAAAAAACATTCTCTTTATTTTTATTGAAAATATCCCAAAATTTATAAAATGTATAAAAGTACAGTATATGTCAAAATATTCAGTTTCTTCAGACTCTTGGTTTCATTGATATTTAAGAAGATAGATGACAATGTTTGCACAATTTGCTGGTATATTTTGCAAGCCAGAGTAATGAATGAACAATATCTCTGGCAGCTAATTAATAGACTGTGATTTCAGTACCCTTCCACTGATTACAATGTAGCTCTAAACCATTCTGCAAACTACACATAGTTCTGCTTTCAATAACTGTTGGTACAGAATGTTAGGATTTTAGCCAAGTTCTGGAGTCTTCTAGGTACCTGTCTTATCTCTTCTTAAGAAAAAATGTATGACTTAATCCTCAAAATAATGAGAGTTATCTGCTTTTTTTCCCCTCTTGCAGATGCCCCGTCACTGCTCTGCTACTGGCTGTTGCACTCGTGATACACCTGAAACACGCAACCGAGGCATTTCTTTCCATCGGTGAGAAATGATTTTATTCTTTGCCCTCCCAGACTCCTATTCCCTTATTAAGCTGAAACTTTGTAGGATTGTCTGGTTAAAATTGCAGCATCCTATTATATCTCACCATAAAATCAAACTTTGTAGGATCAGTGATTTTAAAGAATGTAAGAACATACACTGTGCCCTGCTGGATCAGACCCCAGGCCCACTTAATCGAGCAGTCTGTTCTCACAGTGGCCGGCCAACTATACAATAAACCCAATAGTTTCCCAGTAGATGATCTTCAGAGGTAGCCACATTGCCATCAAAGCTATTTTACTTGAACTTGGGAAAATATGCATAATATTACATATGACCTCTGATCTCCAATGAGTTAATCACTTAATATCTCTTCTCACAGATTGCCAAAGGACAATCCACGCCGAACCACATGGTTGGAGAATTGTCAGCGAAAGAACATGAGTGGGCAGGGTCTCTGGGACCCTGCCTCTAAATATGTTTACTTTTGCTCCAAGCACTTTGAGAAGAATTGCTTTGAGCTAGTTGGCACCAGGTAGGTAATTAAAATAGTGAAAAACATTAAAGAGCATGCAGAATTAAAGTAGACTGTTGGCAGTAGGATAGTAATGTACATCAGTATAGACAATATCATTCCTGTGGAGAGGAATGGTCCTTCCAGGATATCTGTTCCTTCTGACTTTCATTTTTAAATTACTATGAATGTGGGAAGCAACTCACAAACCTTTTTTTAAAAAAAATAAAAGGCTGGAGGGCATAGCCCAGTGCTTTATCTAGAAATGCTTCCCTACTTTACTGCCCAGAGAAAAGACAAAGTGGGAGATGCACTGACTATTAATCTCATCAACTCTCTGACAAATTTGTGAAAACAGACACAGCATGACATGACCATTCCAACGGTGTCTACACACTCGAAGGATTACATTGAGATGCATTTTAATGCTGAAAAGTTAACAGTCTCATTCAAGTCAAGTTCAACCTCTGGTGATTTTTGTAGGCAAGTCCATGTAATTTTCTTGGCAGTGGTGTGAAAATGGTTTACCATTGTCCTTTCTAGGATATGTTTTGATTTTTCCCACTTAATCTACAATCATGGTGTTGTTCCATAATTCCCTATCCTAAGTGCTACATGTACTCCCAGGCTTGGCTTATGATCTCTTGCTCACACATTCACAGTCCTGGTCAACAGCTACACAGCTACACTTAAGTCACTTTCAACTGAACATTGAAGCACAACTGGTTCTTTGAAATAAGAGAGACCAAGTGAATCTAGAGTAACAGCAAAGCTTATTTTTATCCTGTCTTTATTATTTTTTATAACTAATTCAAGGTAGCAAATATACCTATATCTTCCGCCTCCTATTTTCCTCACAACAGCCCTTTGAGAAGGGTTGGGCTGAAAGAGTGACAGACCCAAATCACCAAAAACAGGACTAAAACTCACTCCTTTCTTTCTTGCACACACTCACATTCTCATTCATTTACCCATGTCTTCTAAACTATGATCTGCCAGACACTAGTTAGAGGGGCAGAAGTGGCCAAGTCTGCTTCCAAAGATGACTCAAAGAGATGGTCGGCTTCAGGCCCTAAAAGTCCTTGCTTTGTTGATTCACAAGACTGGCAGCAATTCTTGCTTTGTTGGTTTTCAAGTCTGATAGCTGTTGATAGGATTTGAGGAGAAGGTTCCCATGTTCTCAGGCCCAAGTTCTTTTTGTTTTGTTTTGTTTTTTTTTGTTTAGGTGACATGTTTTTCTTTATTTCTTTAAAGACTTGGCTCTTTCTTTTCTATCTCCCAAAGGAGTATTTTAAACAAGATCTCTGGCTTTTTGTCCACCTTGCTTTCATGCCAACTTTATCTTTAGCTACGGTATGATACTAGTTTCACATTAGTACTAACCAGAGTTAACCCTGCTGAGTTTCTAGACCCAGGAAAGGTGAGCCATGTGTTTCTACCTACTAAGATAGCAGAGAGTAAGACTAAGGAAGGGAAATCAAAGTGACCTGAAAGGTACTTTAAAAAATCACCAGTGTTGAAGGACCAGAAACCAGTTGGTTAATTAAAGATGACCAGATTTCAGTGTAATATATTTTTCCAGAGATGAAAAGATTAAAATACCCATCTAAGTTGTATTCTAAAAATTTAGAATGTATTTTCAGTCAGAAATCAAGGGGATTTTTCTATCCTAGAATGTCAGATCCTTAGGGTGACCAAGTACAGACTTGTGTATAACACTAAAACTGAACTCTTCTCTTACCCCCCCCCCCCCAAAAAAAGTCCATTTGAAAAAAGTGTGAGTGAAATCTTGCACTAAAAAGATCTTGGATAGTTATACTAGATGGTATTGCCAAAATAGATCATAGAGTTAACTTGATAGACATTATTTCAGTACAAGATTTCTGAGTTATAGACACCAAACAGAATTATCTCTAAAGGAAAGGGCTAAATATATGTTACCAAAATTAATTACTTTGGTTTATTTAATACATCTGTACATAAACTGGGCAAATAATACTCAAAATAGAATGTAACTAGCTAATTCCGGAGCCCTCAGAAGATCTGCCTTCTCCTCCAGCAATCCACAGTCCAGGTACTGGACTTTCTGCAACCAGTAACAACTTTGCATGTGTGGGGGTTGTTTCCTTTGTAGCGGCTATCATCGTCTCAAGGAAGGGGCTGTTCCTACGATATTTGAGCCTCATGCAAAGTCACGCCGGAAATCTAAACTTAACAGTTCCAAACCTGCAAAATATCTACTGAAGCAGAGGTGAGTAGTGCTCGTGTTCTCTGTAAATTTGTGCATATTTATTTAGAAGTAGGTCACGGTACATTCAGTGATGCTTACTTCTTGATAAAGAGTAAAAAGCATAAAGGCATAATATATTCAGCCATTAATAGATTAACATATTTTGTGTATAACAGAATGGGATTGTGAAATCTGAGATTGGAACCAGAGAGGAAAAAAATTAAGTTAAGAATATAAAAAATGTGGAAAACGTCAGTCCTGGAATATAATTTAGTGGCTTAATTGAATCATTTGTTTTTTTTGTTTTTTTCTCACATGAATCTCACATGTATTTTTATGTTGCAAGGGCTGCCTTGAAAATTCCTTGTTTCCCATGCCCAAGCCTCACTCCATATTGGCTCCTTTAGCCTATAGGGAGAATATGTCTTATATGGCAGGGCTTTTCAACCAGTGGTACGGGTACCACCTGTGGTACATTGGCACCTGGCAGGTGGTACGCGACCATCCTAGAAAAGTGGTAGCGGGGGAGGGGAATGAGCTGAACTGGTGGCAGCACCGCACAAGCCTGAGCAAGAGATGGCTGGAGCTGCAGGGCTGTCAGGGCTCAGCGGAAGCCCCAGGATCAGCGCCAGGATCCAGCTGGAGCTCGGCGCTGATCCTGGCGCTTCTGCTGAGCCCAGAAGAAGCGCCGATCAGCTGGAATCTTGCAGCCTCTCCAGGGTCTTGTGATTTACATTCAGGTGCTTGGCAACTGATTCATATTTATGACGGTCACAGTGTCCCAAGGTCATGTGAAGTGACCAAAACCTGGTGCAACCACCCAGCAGACGGGGGGGATTAAAAACCAAACCCCCCCACCCCACCCCCGCTGCCAATCCTCAACAGAAATGCTCACAACAATGAAAACCTCGGACAGGAGGAAGAGCGCCACCGGGTGTCTTGCTCGGCAGTGGCTTGGGGGGCACTTTTTTCAGTGCTATTGTAACTTCGAACAGTCACTAAGTGAACTGTTGTAAGTCGAGGACTACCTGTACTTTATCACTTTTTTCCTTTTTTTTTTTTTTTGGTCATCAAGTTTTTGACACCTTGCTAGGCGACTGGTGGTACTCGGATGTTGCCATATCCTAAAAGTGGTACAATCGGTGAAAAGGTTGAAAAGCCCTGTTATATGGGCATCCTGCATCTGCCGTCATGTTTTTCGCTGCTGGTTACTCTGTGTCATAGCTTATGCAGCTGCTGCTTCTCACCTGACCTCGATTCTATTCACAGCTATGGTCTCGGCTTTGCAGAGGAGACAACTCCTCTGTGTATGGACGTCTCTTGCTTCCCCATGCAAGAGCTGCCAAGTCCTGGGGCTGCTCCCATTACTGGTGAGCCTCGAAGCCAGCCCAATCTTCCAGGGTCGGAACCAGAAAATTTGGCTACTCTGTCAGACATACCCCTGGAACAATTACCAGCTGCCACTGGCCAAGAAGAGGCCTCTCAATCTCCAGCTCTCCCAGAACCTGTAGGGGATCCATCTCAACCCGTTTCTCTCTCCCTCTACATGTTGCGGCTCCCACCTCCAGCTGGTGCCTACATCCAGAATGAGCACAGCTACCAGGTGGGTAGTGCCTTGCTTTGGAAGAGGCGGGCTGAGGCAGCACTTGATGCTCTAGGAAAAGCACAGCGGCAGCTGCAAGCTTGCCGGCGTCGTGAACAGAGACTCCGTCTACGCATCTGCGAATTGCAGCGTGAACGGCGGCCACACAATGCTGATGCACATCGACGGTTTAAGGAACACGTGCAGGTCTTTGAATTGCAGCTACTGAATGACGTTGAATAACTTGAATCGGCCCAAATTTACCTTGCTTTGTGTGGTCCTGTTGCAAACTTGGGCTGTCGTATTTTCCATCGTCAAGATAACATTGTAGCAAAACTTGGGACTCTACAAACTTGCAACCCACTTCATGCAACCGTTTCCCCTTCACCCTTTTTGTTTATATCTGTAAGGAAATTTTTCTATTGTATAAGTGGATGTCCCAGCTCAGCTGAAAGATACCTGATTGCTTGAGGACAGATTTAGGAAAGACAGTTATTTTGAGAATTTCATTATGGTGCTGCCCTAGAGGGTCATAATATTTCTTTAAACAAAAGCTGCTTGACATTGAATTCAGAGCTTGTCATGGTTGCCCAATTGAACAAAAACCTTTTTGCTGCTTATAATTTTCTTTAAATTATAAGACTGTATGATATGAAAAATCTTAAGCATTATATTGTCGCAAAACAACTTCCCACCAAAAATCAACAAAATCAAAATATTTGCATGTATCATATTGCCAGACAAATATGGTAATGATTTAAATCTGAATTACATAAAGAGAAAATTTCACTCTTTATTTTTGGTCCCTGAGGGATAATTTTGTACAAGACTTTTAGCTGTTTTAGTATGTAAGCTGCTAGGCCACAAATTTAGACATAGCTTGAAGCAAAGGTAATTACTGGAGCTGAGAGAAGCCCAATCTAAATGTGAAATTTCAGAAGAATGTTTTAATACTGAAATAATGAAGAGAAACTTTTGGTTCACAAATTATGTCAACCCTGTATGTTTTGAGTAAGAACTTTTCTAGATGTGCTCCTCACATAATACTTTTCAAAACATTTTATTTACTATGCCAGATGTTTTGGATTCTCATTCTGTTTTGTAATTAGAAAACTACTTGTATGCAAGAATCTCTTGCTGGATCAAGGGAGTGATCTTCAGCACTAAGTAAAATCATTTTTAATATAATTTTATTAGGAATTTTGATTACAATAGTAATAAGTAAAATCAGTTCTGTGGCTTAACATACTGAGATTAGCCAAAGTTCTGCAGTCTCAAGAGAGCCATCAATATTCAGTCAAACCTGTAAGGCATGTTTCTGAATGTGGCCTCATAAATGAATGCCTCTTTGATTAGTTTTTATTTTTTAAAAACAACAGCTAAACCATGTTTCTTATGAAGATAAGGGAAAATTGAACATGTAGAATTCTATTAAGTTGTATGCTTATAATATTGCAGAAGAATGCATAGGAAAAACTGGGGGGACTTATAATTTGTAGATTTCAATGTACTAATATTTAATACAATAAAACAAACTGAACATCGTTTCAGCTAATATGCACCAATTTTCTTTCGTGGAAATTTTATTTTACATAAAGATCCTCAAATGAGTGGTAGCATTAGAGATTATTTCCAATTAAGGGAACCCAAACAGAATTTTTGGCATGATCTCTTCCCCCAATTTTGAAGCTACCTAATTTTTTTAGACCTGTGCAAAAAGTTTGTAGTCTCCTATATATTGAATTACTACAAATTATTACAAATGACAAGGGACACTTACAGTATAGCTATATGAAAAAAATCATAAACTAAACTGTGCGTATCACTGCTATAGAAAATGACCTAATCATCCAGAGGAGGCGCTGTGCTTGACAAACACCAGAACAATGAAGTAAAGACAAGATCTTATAACTGATAATAGCAATAGCACTTGAATTTATATACCGCTTCACAGTGCTTTCCAGCCCTCGAAGCGGTTTACGGAGTTAGCATATTGCCCCCAACAATCTGGGTCCTCATTTTACCAACCTCGGAAGGATGGAAGGCTGAGTCAACCTTGAGCCGGTAAGACTCAAACTGGAATGAGCAGTGAGTTAGCTTGCAGTATTGCTTTCTAACCACTGTGCCACCACGGCTCTATATAAGTCTCAACATAAAAAGATTCAAGAAAAAAGCAAAGTTAAATACATACCAGGTCTTAATCTAGTCAGTCCCAGGAAAGAAGGCACTTGGATTTGCAGTTGCTCACACAGGATAAAGATTATTTTCAGGAGTGGATTTCTTAAAGGCCAGCTTTATATATGTGGCTTCTTTTATCTGCCTCTAAGCCAGAGGTGTCAAACTCAATTTCACTGAGGGTCGCATCAGGATTGCGGTTGCTCTTGGGGGGGGGGGTGTGGCCAGGGTGGGTGTGGCCTACTGGGTGGGCATGGAGTGTGGCCTACTAGGTGGGTGTGGCCAGCTCTACATCGTTCACGTCAAGGATGCCTGTGGGGGCCTGGGCAGGAGTGGGACAGATCTGAGGGTCTCTGGCAGAAGGGTGTGGGACCAGGGCAAGTGCCAAGGCATGGTCTACTGGAGGAGCCTCGCTGTTCCTCTCAGGCCATGCAGGGGGGCTGGATGGTGGTGTGGGCTGCCCAGAGTCCTGGGCAGCAGAGGTCAAACACCCAGCCTGGCCCTCGAGGACCCACGGCACCAAGCCCAGCCCCACTTCCCCAAGGGGGTGCCCAGCTGCACTTATCTCCTCAAGGCTGCTGCTGCTGTGCTTGCTCTCCTTAGCCAGGTTGTTCATGATGGGTACCAGGGCAAAGTCAGAGGGAGGCCCATTCCCTCTCCAGGGGAGTAGACCAAGCTTTGTATCCAAAGCTTCCTTAGCAATAGGATGGGAGACCCCCAGGATAGGCCAGGAGGAGGGGGCAAGGGGATGATGAAAGGGCAGCAGGGCAGGACTAAGGCAGGAGTTCCCTCAGACCCTCCCTCCCTCTCCTCCCTCTCCTCCCTCTCCTTCCTTCCTTCCTTCCTTCCTTCCTTCCTTCCTTCCTTCCTTCCTTCCTTCCTTCCTTCCAAGTACAGAGTGGTGGGAAAATATTTGAGATGAGGGAGGGAGAAAAACAGGCAAGAAACGCAGCTGGGGAGATGTCACCCTTCGTGAGGAATGAAAAAATGCACCATCACCTGGAAATAGCCAGCACATGGCCCTCACCTACTTCACATATCTGGCTTGGTGGGCTCTGGGAGAGGGGATGCCATGAGCAGCATTACCTATGCAATGCCGCCCAGCCCCCAGCCTGCCCGGTTTCGGCAGGCAGCGGGGCACTTTCCTCACAGCGCCAAGAGGCTGAACCGCAAATCCCAAAACAAGCGCAATGCCACCCAGCCCCCAGCCTGTCCAGTTGTCGTGCTTCTTTTTGGATTCGCGCTGTCCAGCTCAGCCTCCCGGCGCTGTGAGGAGCGCCCCCCACTGCCTGCCAAAACCCTTCCCCTGGAGCCCATCAAGCCAGATAGGTGAAGTAGACGAGGGCCATTTGCTGACCAGTTCCAGGTGATGGTGCATTTCTTCATTCCTCACAAAGGGTGACACCTCCCCAGCATGCACCCAGGGGGCAGGGCTGACGTGGCAGGGGCTGGTTCCTCACTGTTTCCAGACGGTCTTGTGGAGCTAACACTGAATGCGTTTCAGCAAAGATGGCCACCACAAAATTGTACATTAGCTCCCAGCCGGCCTGGGCCAGGGCCAAGGCAGTGGGGGCCGTTCCCTCACTGTTTCCAGGATGGCTTCGTGGGCCACATGAAACCACTTCGCGGTCCGCATCCGGCCCCCAGGCCTTGTGTTTGACATGTCTGCCCTAAGCAGTTAGACTACTGGCTCAGTTCCTATGCTAAGTCTGCTCAGGAGTTTGTTTCATTTATACATCGTTTTAGAAGAATACAAAATATAAGTACCAACATACACAATAACTACAAAATAAATCTGTAATAAACATGATAAACACCATGATAAAAGTCTGCTTGGGAGCTAAAACAATTTCTGAGATCATGGCTGCTCCTAAGAATAACAGATACAGGATAATGATAGAATTCTATTCTTAATATAAAAGAATTATTTTTATATTTGATAAAGTTATTTAGGAAGCATGTTGGCTTTTAGCTGCACTGAAAATAAGTCCACTCTGTTCTAGTGCAATATTTTGCAACCTTAGCAACTTTCAGATATGGAAACTTTAGTTTCTAGAATTTCTTAGCCACCATGCTGGGAGCTGAAGTACACCCAGCTTAAATTGCCACGGTTGAGAAACAGTTTTCTAGTGCCTGATAAATTAATACATTTGAGCAAGTCTACATATGCCAGAATGTGGCACAGTGGCTCAGTGGTTAAGATGCTGGGCTTGTGTGGCTGGAAAGTTGATAGCCCAGGTTTGAGACCTAAGCGCCACATGATGTAGTGAGCTCCCATCCTCGCCTAGCTCCTGCCAACTTAGCAGTTTGAAAGCATGCAAATGGAGTAGATAAATAGGTATCACTTCAGGTAACCATGCCGGTGACATGACCACAGAAATGTCTTCAGAAAGCTCTGGCTCAATGGTCTTGAAACGGAGGTGAGGACCGCCCCCTATAATTGGCAATGATTAGCAGAATAAAATCCACAGGGACTCATTTACCTTTTTATATATATATGCCAGAATTCCATCCTGTATTTCTTTTACATAGCTTGTTTGAATGATGCATATGTCTCAATCATAAGATACTAGATAGTTCACAAAGCAAAAAGAAGAATTGTAAAGCAACCTACCTCTTAATAAAAAAGTAATAATATAGAATAATTGCTTGCTTACTTAACTCAGTAGGACTGATTTCTTTAAACCAAGATTAATATACAACAAAATCACAATAATTCCCCGTTGTAAAGATTGCTAGATCTTTATGGCACAAACAAAAATACAGGTAACTTTTATAGTGATAACACGAATTTTGTGTTTTGTATTGTAGTATTGCATTAGTTTGAACTTAAGTTTTTGTAGAGCTGAACTGAGGCTTTTTACTATACCCATTAAAATATTGTGATACCAAACAAATCTCTAAGGTCAAATAGCAGCAGAGAACAAATTCCTATGACTGTCTTTCTGACAAAAACAGCTTTTCGGATCAATTGATCACCCTAAGGAAAGTTCAGATTAAAAACTGATGTGGATTATATCTATCTGTATTATTCACACAGTTCTGTTGTAGGCTTTGATGTTTTTCTGTGAAAAAACATTTTGCCTGCGCTGTTGGATGCATTATCCCTGTCCATCATATTGTTCCTTTTATGATGTAAAACAGAGGATAAATTACTAGGAGCCTTTCCTTCTCTGTTCTGCTGTTAAGTACTTAAAACTGGATCAATCAAAGACCACTGCTTTTGGGACAGTCCATGCAGATTTTCTATTGTACATCAAGGTAATCCTCAATTTATAGTCACATTTGGGACTTGAACTTCCATTTTTAAGCAGTGTAGTCACTAAGTGGGTTACACCTGATTTTATTACCTTTTACCTCAGTTTAATTGTATGACTACAGAGATGTGAATCCAATTTCACTCTTGATTTTGCTTGTCAGAAACTTTGGGAAAGTTATAAATGGCAGTCATGTGACCCTGGGACGCTACAAGAGTCATAAAAATATGCCAGTTTTCAAGTACCTAAATTTTAATTGACTACAGAGATGCTGTGACAGTTGTGTGAAAATCAGTCATAAGTTGCTTTTTTCATCATGACATAACTTTGAATGAGCATTAAATGAACGGTCATAAGTTGGAGACATTTATTATTTCTAGTGGCTCTGCATAGTTTTGTCTGTTTTGATGATGTATAAACTATAGATAATGTAACATTTTCGCTTTCATTCATATTTCTGCATATTTTTGCCTGCTTTGCCCCCTTTTGCCAGTTACTGTTTCTTGATGTTTGTTGACAGTTAATAAACATCAAGCTATATTACTACTAACTGAATTTTAGGGATATGCGTATGATCTGATAAGGATATAGAGATTAATTGGAAGTGTGATGGTTGCAAACTAAGCTGTAAATTACCCATAGTAATTTTCCAATATGCACAACACACAACACAACTCATTTGAGTTACTGGATTTTTGCATAATTTATTAAATGCATAATTACCAAATGGGCACAGTTCACACATTTGAAGACACAAAATTAAGATTTCTGCAAGTGTGGCTACTAGATATTGGCCATTATGTACAGTGATAGGTGACAAAACGTGTTTCATGATGTCAGAATACAAGGTAAATGCAAATTGGGTATCTGGGTTATACATCATGAACTAGATGTGTAATCCTGAATTTGCATCATGACACTGCTGTATATACATGACTTCAATTTTCCAATAACCTGACTAATTGGATGCCAATGAAATGACTTGGTTTCATATGTTATGGGAACACTGGAAATACAGCATGTTTGATTAAAATGGCTTTTAAAAATGTCAATTGAGAACATTAAGTCTTTCAAAGGAGTGAGGAGAGGGCGGTGGGAGGAACAAAGACATTTTTTAAAAATGCCAGTATGATGGAAAAAAAAAGAAGATACGGAGTGAAAAACAGACCACAAGAGGGTAGCAGAGCACAAGATATGGGAACCTGGATTGACCAACGTGATAGCGAGGCCGAACAAGACCAGGTCCTGTCAGCAAAGCAAGAGGATTCAAAGATTGATTAACTTATTCGGAACTACATTTCTGGAACTTTTAAAGGAAAAACTTTTTTTATACCTCTGGTCTGTTTTTTTCTTAACTGGCCCCAGTACCTCAATTACATCGAGTACCAGTTTGGTAGCATTCTCCGGAACTCGCTTAACTTGAAAGCCAGCTATAGAAAAACTCTCCGACCTTGGATGCTATATCACAAGCTAGGATCCCTTTCCCAAGAAACTGGCGTGTCGACGAAATCGTGCTCGATTTAAAGATTTATTTTACACAGGGAGTTGGAAAGGCTGACTTCCAATAAGTTTTTCAAACTCCTGCTGTATCTTGAGCCTATCTTCTGCCCAACTGAACATTCCCTCAGCTTTGCGTCGTCTGCAAATTTGATGAGTTTCCCTTCTATCCCCTCGTCTAAATCATTGATGAAGATATTGAAGAGTACTTGGGCCTAAAGTAGCCTTTTCCGCAGCCTTTCCAACCGTCCGGTTGCAGAAGACGGACGGATAGATGGACACCCACACCGACAGTTCGCTTTCTACTTTCACTTTCCCTCTCCGCGCTGGGCAGCCAGAAGCAACGGCGACTGAACGACGAGTTCCTCCTCGGTGTCGCCTCCTTTGCTCTGAATTCTCCAGGCTAGCGGCAGGCGGTGGACAGCGGTAAGCGAGGGAATGGACGGAGGCGACAAAGCTGCCTTTCCCTCCCTTCTTGAACCCGCCGCGGTTTCCCCGGCCTTACAGGTATCTTGACTGCAGCAGACCCATTAGGCAAGAGCGATGCTCTGCTGCCATCCTCCAACCGCGACGCCGTGACTTACAAGAAAGCGCTGCCCCCTTATTCAATGGATCACAACAGGCAATGCCTACCTGCCCTCCCCCATCTTCCGCCTTCCATCCTGAGCAGAGAAGACACCGCACGAAAGGCACGGGGGGGGGAGGGGGGAGAAAGCGAAAGTTTCAGGCGCAGAATTTCGGGTTTCAGAGACACTTCTGGGTTGACGTCATGGCCACACTTAGCTAGTGTGCAGCAGGCGGAAAAAGAGGGAGGAGGAATAGCTAAGAGAAAAAGCAGCGTAGGGTTTCCGTTTCTTTTAACTTTTCCTCTGCTACCCTCTTAGAGACGATGAAGGCTGATGGACATGGTTTCTCAGGGGTTCTAGTGCCCCTGTTTTCCACAGTATAGCTATATTGATAATATGTCACTCTCTTCCCAAGGATTTTCTGATGTTTTCTCCAACTAGTCCAGACGTTTTCAATTGACTTAGTTCCAATAACTTTATGGCTCCTTCAGGTTGGACCTCAGTATGAAAAATGGTTCAAAAAGAAGTTACGTTAATCTGTCCTACATTCTAAAAGGCCTCAAACTATGAAGCTATTTTCCTATGGAGTACAGAAAAAAGAAATAAAAGCTCATGTTTCATCTTTTCCATTGTGTTAACTGATGTGTGAATAACAGATATTGTGTTATTCTTCAGGTTAAAGGTTCCCACCCCCTTCTGTTAAATCGTGTCCAGTTTTTAGAAACTGCCTGGAAAAGTTCATGTAGGATTTTTTGGGCAAGGTTTTTCAGAAGTGGTTTGCCATTGCTTCCTTCCTAGGGCTGAGAGAAAGTGACTGGCCTAAGGTCACCCAGATGGCTTTGTGGTCATGGTGAGGCTATAATTCACAGCTTTTCAGTTTCTAACCTCAACCCTTACTACACCAAACTGGCTCTCAAAAGAGATCTTAGACCAGTGGTGGCGAACCTATGGCACGGGTGCCAGAGGCGGCACTCAGAGCCCTCTCTGTGGGCACACGTGTCGTTGCCCCAGCCTTGCCTCCCCCTGCGACCCCCTCACCAGCAGTCCCCCTGGAGGAGAGTCGCCATCGAGCATGGCCCACGCGGAGCAGCACAGCCAAGGACATGGCAGCCAGGCAGTGTAGACAAGACTCTGCCCTCACACCCCATCACGCACAGTTGATGCTGCGGGGTATGGGCAGAGGGCATGGCCATGGTGCTGCTGGGCTGTCTGGGCAATCTGCAGTGGGCCCTGGAGGCGATGAATGGCCCTGTGGGCAGCGGGGCTGGGGTGGAACGGGGGCAGGGCAGGGGGTGGAGCGGGGCTGGGCCAGTTTTTGGGCACTCGGTCTCTAAAAGGTTCGCCATCACTGTCTTAGACCTTTATAAAATCAGTTATCATCCTTCCCCATGGAAATAAAGTATGAAGGCAATAAAAAAGAATATATACTGAGAAGCACTGAATTACAAGAGAAAATGGTCTTTCTAGCTAAGAAAGAGAAAGAGATTTTCTGCTGTTGCTTTTTCTTTGGTCAGGGGATGGTTTTCTTCTTGCCCACCTGTTCTTCCTGGGAAGCAACAGCTTCATGACCATCTTCTACCCTGGCTAAGGAGGGTGTCTTGTCAGTTTCCTTCTGCAGCATCCATTGGAGCTGTATATTCTTTATCATTTGAAAATGACACTTGTGGTTTTCTGAACACTTAGAGTCATCTTAATAAATGAATGAACAATTTTGACCACACAAACTTTTATCTCTTTAATCTGATTTATATAGAGTTTTTCTATTGCACGCCTTTACACTTTCTTTCTTCTAGGTACATCTGACTGAGACCCACAATGTCACACACTCCCCGTTGCAAACTAGTTGACTATTTTGAAGAGCTGAGTGAAGAGGAATTCGAGAAATTTAAGATGCACCTCGAGGACTACCCAGTGGAGAAGGGCTACAAGCCCATTCGTCGCTCCAAGACTGAGAAAGCTACCCACATTGAAATAGCCCGATACATGATTGAGGCATATGATGATGCCAAGGCCCTGAAGGTGACCGTCAGCATTCTGGACAGAATAAATAAAAAGGATCTGGCTGCAAGAATCCAAAACGAGATGCTGGAATGTAGGTAGAAAAAGCCCAACTGCGTATTGGTAACTCAAGGGTGATTCTAATTCCTTTGTTGACTTCTGTTCCTCTTTGGCTTTCTAATGATATTTCAAAATGAGTGGTTTGTGGGCCTCCATTAATCTTTGCTATAGAGTCAGATTTGTCCCCTACTCTAAAGCTAACAAGGTCACTGGCTTTCTAATGACAATCTATTTTAGAGTCCTTGTCTAGGAGGTTGAAAGTATAGGAAAGTAGGTAAATGAATAGGGAGAAAGATGTAAAATTAGGACTCACAATTTCTACATAGGAATCAAGAGCTCCATATTTTCAGACAACCCAGACATCAATGAAGGCCTGGGAGAGAAAAAATTCTTAGGAAAAAGAAGAAATTGCAGAAACAAAAGATTAGGGAAAATGAGCACATTTGGGAGAAATGCAAATAATTGAGGAAAAACATTTTGGGAAAATTATGTTCCCCATTTTTTTTCTAAGCAAATTATCATGATTGTTTAAAAAAAAAAAAAAAATTCTTAAGTTTTACATCCCAGTAAATTGGATATGCATTAGCCTCTTGTTTATAGTTCTTCCATCCATGCTCTTTTTTTTGCATTTCAAATGTCTCCTTTTTTTAAAATTTTTATTTATTCTTTTTTCACTATGCACGCAAAAAATAATAATAATGAAAAAATACATTTTTTTCCTTTAACAGAACTGTGTTATACATCTCATATATATTATTTAGAATTTATTTATATCAGTAATCATATCTTTTTCTTTCTCTATTCTAGCCAGTTATAACATTTGTTCCATATTTCATAAAATTCTGTTGCCTCCTTGTCTTTTAATTCTAGCGTAAGTTTATTCATTCCCGTGCATTCTAGAATTTTGTATATAATCATATTGTTTGTAGGTATGTTTTCACCCTTCCAACACTGGACATATTCTATGCGGGCTGCTCTTAACATATGTATAATGATGTATTGGAGTTGTTTTTCCATCTTTAAATTTATTATACCCAAAAGAAATAGTTCCGGTTTGAGTTCAATTTGCACCTTAGTTATCTCCTGTATCCAGTTCCTTATCCATTCCCAATAGGTCTTTGCTTTAGGGCACAGCCACCACATGTGATAAAATGTTCCTTCCTTATTTTTACATTTCCAACATTCCGGATTCATATTTTTATACATTTTGGCCAATCTCGCCGGTGCTAAATGCCATCTATAGAACATTTTATATTGATTTTCCCTATATGCAGTTGATCATCCATGCTCTTAATGGCCCCATTTCTACTGAAAACAGCTGCCTGATGTTTAGCAAACAACAGAAGTGTCCAAGTAGCAATTTTCTTTGAAAAAATGGACAGGCTGGTGAACCTTGCCGGTTCCTACTTCCTATGCAGTGATAGCGTTAGTATAGTTCTGCTGTGTGGAAAATTGCTCAGCAATGCAGCCCAAGTTGCTGTCCTTCTATTGTGTTGACTGGGAATAGTGCAAACTGTGATCCAATATATCCAAAGGACAACCAGTAGGGAAGAAATAGGTCATCCCATATAGCTGTGAAACAACCTGATCTTAATTAAATCAATTTAAAGTTGTGGTTCCTGTGAAGGATATTTTTCCCATCCAAGTGATTATGACCAAAGGAAAAAAAGGGGACAGCCAATTAGCTCATTCATTTATTCATTTTTTTAAATTTTAATAAGAACTGACTTATTTTCAACAGATTTTCTTCAGTCTCCAGAATCAGACGAGACGTTTTCTGGATCTCAAAATAAAGGTTAGTTGTCCACATATGCATTAAGTGCTTTCCAAACACAAGACTTGAATCAAAAAGAAAAAAAGACTGATTACCAGCCTTTGGATGACTTGCTGCAGAATCAGATCTCAAGGTGTCAAAACAAAAAGCATTTTGTTCCAACTCTTTTCTAAATGAAGTGGCTAGGGAAAAGGGGAGAAAGTGGAAACAAGGAATGGACTCCTGTCAGAAAGAGCTCCAGACTTTGGCAGTTTCTTAGCACACAGATGAGCCTTGATGCACTAATACAAGTCATAGCTCCTGTAATATACTCCTGAATGATTCCCCCTAGTGCCAAATTAATTTTTTAAACAACAGATAAGTGAAATCTGTCAAATCCCCAAATATCACAACCATCCAGTATTTTTGCATAACATTTCATGAGATTTCCAATATTTTTTATCTTGCTTTGGTTTGGTGAGTACATCACCACAAAGAACTATTTAATGGCAGCTTTTTCTTAAAAATACTGCTAATCCATGGACAAAAGTATTTGTTTTAAAGATGTTTTTTTATGCCATGTCTTTATGTCTTCAGGTTCTTGATAACCCTGTCATCTTTCTCCTTAAAAAAAAAAGGAATCATTTTCTGTAATCCGATATTTTAGAAAATATCCCCAAACCTACAGAATTTGTTATAATTATATCATACAACTTTAGTGGCTGTATCTATACAGTTTTATTGGTAGCATTATGGGACAGTCCACAATTGCTTTTTTTCAACTTAGTGTACATTCCTGGCACTTCCAATTGGCTCCCCTGTCCAGGTTATAGTAAAAAAATATACATTGCTTAGAGCTAATTAAACCCTTCAACAATTCTTACAATGTTGTCTTTAACCTGAATTAATACTGCCTTTTCACCAAATCTGTAAGTCATAAATTGAGTCACTATCACTTCAACCTTTTCTCTTTCTCTTCACTTCTCTTTAGTGGAGGTGATGCTGGATCCCAAGACAGCTTATCCCACCCTCATCCTTTCAGAGGACCTGAAAAGTGTATACATGGGTGAACAAGCCCAGGACTTTCCTGACAATCTTGAACGCTTTAATTTTTTCCCTTGCGTTCTGGGAACAGAAGGCATTAATTCTGGGACTTTAGAGTGGGTGGTTGAGGTGGGCAGGGCCAAACAATGGGCCATTGGTGCTGTGCGTGAATCCATAAAAAGAAAAGGATATTTAAATATAATGGCTACTGAAGGGTTTTGGGTTTTGCAGCTGATGGATGGAGAATATGAGGTCACCACCACACCTAAAACCATTCTTCCACTGTGGAAAACAGTTCAACGGATCCTTGTTTGCTTAGAATTCAATTTAAGCAAGTTATCTTTTTATGATGTGGACTCTATGGAGATTATCTTTACTTTCAACTATCCATTTTTTGAGAAAATGTTCCCTTTCTTCCTGACTTGGGACAAAAAAAATCCATTAAAAATAGTACAAATTACTTCATCAAATAATCTGAGGAAGAACAAGAAGAAATAGTGTTGTGAAATGACCCAATCTGACCCATTTTCTGTTCAGACCTTGAAGTGATTGCCATTGGATTCAGGGAATCTTACTTTTGATTAAATACAATAGAATATGTTTGATTAAATACAATAGAATAGTATTGTTAATTTCTGATTTCTGTTCCCTTTATTCCCTTCATGGGAATCTTTATGAGAAACTTTAGTCTATGTGTGAAAAAAGTATGAGAAATAAAGCTTATAAAACATTTACCCATTATGTAAAAGAATTCCATAAACAATAATATATGTTCACTCTGATTTTTTTTAAAAAGACTTTAAAAAGTAAAGAATGGGATCAAACAATCCTGGCCTGCAGACAAGATATGGGTGGTTTTTTGGCATAGGAAGGCAGCAGTTTTACACTTACAAAGCATGGTATCTTGTTTATTTCTGCAATCAGATTACTAGAGAGACTGGCTCATGTTGTAAAAAAATTGGCTTAGCCTGGCACAGAAGCCAATCAGAGCCAGACACGAGAGACAGACTTTTGCAAAACTTTTATTGAAGCACTTCAGCAAAAGGGTCCCAGTCCAATTTGGGAGCTAAGACCCTGAACAACAGCATAGCACAATCTTTTTTACTGCTGATTTCCAGAAATAGGGGAGTAACATTTCATAAAGCTATTACCCTTTTGTGTCATTCTACCTTGTTTTTAGTCTACCTGTCCATTTGTCTACAGAGTTGCACCTCGCCTGAGCTTACCTGTCATTTTGCCCCTATAGAGTTATATCTTGCTTAAGCTTTACCTGTCCATCGTACCTGCTTGGGTTTCTGCTGCTTGTCTTCTTGTTACCAAATCTTGTAATTTCCTATCTATTTCTAAATACGCGTTGTTACATTTCCTTCATCTCTAACAGACACATTGCACATTTGCAATAAATTTTTATTCCTTCCTAAGATGAGGGTATATTGCTTCTTAATGGGTGTTCCATCATTCTCCCCCTTTGAATCTGGGAAAAATTTACTTCCCCAAGATTCTCCAACAAACAGTATTTGGTTCTTAAGAGTCTAGGTACCTTATTGGCAGGTAGTGAAACATAAGCTTTACATGTCTTTAATACAATGGGTGTCCTGGTCAGACCGATCTTTGTATGTCCAAAGTTTCGTCCACCCCTGGACAAAGGTAACTTCCCCTTTGCATAAGCTGTAAGATGCATCAAGAAAAATAGGGCCATGAAGAGTTAAGAAACTCTCAACGAAAGGGGATGCCCTCCATAGATTGTGTAAGCATTCAGAAATCCACTAGCTTTAAATGCATAACAAGGTTAGAGGGCATATTAATAAGAAAAATATCTTTTAAATCCAATAGGTGATGTTGCCTATCAAATCCAATAGGTGATGTTGCCTATTTATCATGTTCCATGCTATGCAGTCCCTCTGTTTTATGGACCAAGAAAGCCCTTTTGTATAAAGAAAATGTAAATACAAGGTCAATTATCCCCACAAGTTACTATCCTCACAATCTATTACACCCAATCTTACACAAGTATTCCCTGGAGGTTCACTTGATGGATTTTTTTTTCTAAGATGTAGTTTGCCAATGAACATATTTTAAATAGATCGAACATCTACAATAAATACACATAATAAATGGAAGCAGACAAGTAGTTATATATATACAAATCAACATCCAAATGTCCACCATCTCACAATTCCAATAAGCTAACATGGCATCAGTCCTAGGACAAAATCAACCAGTTATATGACAATTCAGCAATGCCAATCCTGTTGAAGCTGAAACTTTGATCGGTCTGCTCAGCATCTATAATGATCAGCATGAAAGGTGTAACCAAGTGCAGTTCTATAGTTTTCAGTTGTGTGCAGAACTCTTCCCAAAGTGGCTGTGGTTTCTTCTAATAGGTTCCTATTAAAGTCTACTAAATCAAAAGACAATAATTAGCCATTCATTCTGGGGAGCCAAGGTTCTATTTAACATTCACCATACATCTACTGGTATTTAGTGCCTACTCAGATGCCATATTGATGTTACTGAGCATTTTCTGTTCTGTTGCTGTAGCTCTAAGTTGTGTCAGCCAGCAGGAAAACAGGTTCTCCTTTCCACACATGGGATATGTAAATCTTGTCTCCTGGGGGTTTCACTTGCATATACTAGGCGAGATGTGCAGCTTCCCTTGCTTGAATGACCCATGGTCATGTCACCTGTTAAAAAAAAAAGACTTACAAAAAGTAATGGATTCTATAACTGACTTGGGCAGTTCCAGCCTTTGGATCTGGTAGGATACCCGGATATCAGCCTGTTGCCATGTGGTCCAGAGAAGTCACAGGTACAGTGAGTGATTGCCACAGCTCACCAGAATCTGAAGTGTTCACCTTCCTTTTGCCACAATTCCACATATTTATTTTACCTTGATGGTAAAATACTGTAAATGGTTCATTTCCAAAGTCCAAACAGATTTTAAAAAAAGACAGGTGAATTTACAATGCCAGGCATGGGGGAAAAAATCCAAACTTAGTTGATCTTATCTAGCCACAGTTAACCCCTGAGTCTTGTTAGGGTTAAGTATATAATCATGCAATGTAAAATAAAGCTGCTAGGCAGATTGTTCTCTCCCCATAAGAAGACAGATCAGGAGAGAATGGCATATCAGCATAACTGCAAAGCAGACTCCCATACTGTGATAGGACTATTGTACTGTTCCGCTCACATACAGAGAGAGACACAACTGTGGTTTAGTGGAGTTATTAATATTCCCCAGCAACTCCCTTCACCCACAATCAGCAATGTCCCAATTAAGCCCAGCCGCAAGCAGGCCAATGCTAGTCCACAGAGCAATGGCCAATGAGTCCACAAGGCACTTGAAAGTTTCCTAATAAAAATAAACCCACCAGGCAAAATTAAATACACAATCAAAGAAGCTGAGAAGATAAATAATTGCCTCTCCCTCCACCACTCCACCAAGCCTGGCAGAGTAAAAATACTTTATACAAAACTTTTGCTTTCAGAGAACTAAAACAACCCTGAAAGCATAAAACAGGAGGAAAATTGCCATAACAATTTCCTGAAAAAGTAAACTGAGGTTTTTCCCCTGATGAAGTGGCTTGCCAAAATCTACCTTGTAGGGCTGAGGAGAAAAAAATGACTAGCCCAAGATCATTCAGCTGGCCCTCATGGCAAAAGAAGTATTCAAACTCACAATTCTCTAGCTTTGTAGCCTGTGGCTGTAACTACTGGACAAAACTGGTTCTCTATAAAGGTTTCCCTTCCCCTACTTGGTTCCAAGAAAAAGGAAAACAAATTGAGCACACACATTAAGCAGCAACTAATCACCACTTTTGAAGTAGCAAGGAGTCCCAAAGATACATACTTTATCAGATGTTAAATAAAACTTCATAGGATTGTTCCTTTGACTAGAGTGCCCTCAAATGCATTATTAAGGATAAATCCAGACTAAAATGGAAAGGAAAATCACTGAGGTTTGATACACACACATACAAAACAGAATAACAGATTTGGATGGGACCTTAGAGGTCCTCAACTCCAACCCTCTGCTGAAGCAGGAAATTATCCATTTCAGACAAATGATTGCCCAATTTCTTCTCAAAACCTCCAGTAATGAAGCACCACAGTTCTGAAAATAAATCATCCCACTAATCAATTGTTCTCATAGTCAGGAAATGCTCCTTAGTTCTAAGTTGGTTCTCTCCTTGATAAATTTTCAGCCATTGCTTATTGTTCTGTTTTAAGCACTTTTAAGAATAGGATGACCACTCTTCTTTGTGGCAGCTCTTCAGATATTGGGATACTACCACTTATTAAGCTAAACATACCTAATTCTTTTTTTTTGTTTTTTTTAAAGAAAGACAAATATGCAGACCAAAACTGCCTCCTTTTTTAATGTGAGGGAAAAGCAGATAACAGATTTCAAAAGCCCAAAGTTGTAACTAAGCAGAAAAAAATAGTTAAAAGGAACAGAAAAACTGCATCCAGGTTTCTTGCAACCTCCAATTTTCCAAGGCAGAAGTTTTTGGGTAAAAGAAGGAGAAGTAACAAACTAAAAAGAATTGCTCAGAAATTTCACACACACACATCCCTTCTCTACTCAGCATGGCTGGCTCAGGAACTCTGGGAGTTGAAGTCCATGAGTCATAAAAGAGCCAAGGTTGCCTACCCCCTGGGAGTTGCACCTCACCTGAGCTTACCTGTCATTCGCCCCTATAGAGTTATATCTTGCTTAAGCTTACATGTCCTTCGTTCCTACTTGGGTTTCTGCTGCTTTTCTTCTTGTTGCCAGTCTTGTAACTTCCTATGTATTTCTAAGTATGCATTGTTACATTTCCTTTATCTCTAATTGACACATTGCACAATTGCATTCTAAATTTTTATTCCTTCCTAAGATGGGGTGTATTGTTTCTTAATGGGTGATCCATTACTCGGGGATGTTGGCGATTGTGCAACCCATTGGGAATTGCAGGCATCAGCTCTGGGAAATACTTCCATTGGCAGATGTCAGCCTTCCCACAAAGGAAAAAACACTAGATGAACTAATTCTTTTTTATTATGAAGTGACAAAACAAAAGTTTGCAAGTCTAGAAGTACAAACTTCCCATCACCACTTTTAACTGTCTAAACAATTAGGGTGGGTCTTGTGAAGATTCTTTCTCAGACCATTAAACAACTGGGGGCTCCTGCTATTCTGGTCTGTTTCCTAGGCTGCATCTCTTCACTTTCTTTCTCAAAGTCATCCATGCCATCCCATTATAGCAGGATGCTACCCCTCTCCCATTGCATTCCCAATTCTTGTCTGTGTGCTGGGATGGCCCGTTTTGGGAGCTTGGAGGATGCCCCGTCCAGCTTCGCGATCTATTTTCACTTTCTCTCTGTGTACTGGGCAGTTGGAAGCAGCAGTGCCTGAACAGTGAATTCCTCCAGAGTCTCGCCTCCTTTACTCTGAATTCTGCAGGCCAGCAGCAGGCAGAGGACAGCAATAAGCAAGGGAGTGGGCTGAGACATGAGAACTCCCTTCCTCTCTTCCTGGACCCGTGGCGGTTTCCCTCATTTCTGCAATGGGAGACTCTTGACTGCAGCAAACCTGTTAGATAGGAGAGACGCTCTTCTGCCACCCTCCAAGCCCCGAAGCCTTGGCTTGAAGAAAGTGTGCCCCCTTATTCATTGGCTCCTGCCAGAATCACAAAAGGCAGTGCCTATTTGCCCACCCCCACCTTCTTTGAGCTTTGAAGACCCGGCACAAATGGCCCAGGGGCAGGAGGGAAAAGGAAAGCGAAAATCT